AACAATCCAGCGATACGAGCCCGAGTATATTTGGGTAATCCCTCAAGGCAAGGCACATTAAACAGGTAGTATCAGTAGAGCAATNAAATTATAAAAAATAAAAAATTGAAATTGGAAAAAATAAAAATTGTTGCAACTTTCTTTCCTAGTAAATTTGTTTGCTTCTCGAAGCATTGATCCATCCTTTGCAAGGCCCAGTAATCAGCGGTTGTGCTGCCGAGTTGGGCGAACGTTCCAAAAGCAGCTATTCAATCGCTTGTTTTGTATGGAAAAAGGTTTCACATGCAAATGGATTTTAACAATTCAGAATTTTTGTGAGAAAAATTAAAAATATTTGACATTTTCGAGACCAAGTAATTTGAAAATAAATCAAATCAGCTGCTCTACTGATACTACCTGTTCAATGTACCTTGCCTCAAGGTTTCGAGGATAATCGTAACAATATGAATGCACCACACAAGTGCAGCTACAGTTTTTAAAATACCATCCCGAACTACAAACGTGTAAAAACTGTCAAAAAAGCTGTTGTCTAGGAGTTCCCTCAGAAGTCTTCTTCTCTGTATAATATCTTCTTGGTCCACAATATTAGCCGCGTACATAATAATTATTTCCTCCATGAATAATATTCTGCAATGGATACTATTATGATATGCATACGCAAATAACTTTTTAACACACCTGTTAAAGCAAATAAAATCGTTTCACAGTTTTCATTTAGTAAAATTTTGCAACTTTTTTCTGCAAAATTAATCAAATTGCAAATATTAACATATGTTTTAGCTTTGTCACGTACTCAATAGGTCATCACGAAAATAATAACAATTGTCACCGTTGGAGCTTTCAAATTGTCCTCTGCATACATAAACGTGACAATTGATTATAAACATGACAATAGTTATAGCAGCGAGTTTTGTCATTGCACGGGAATAGGGCTTTAAATTTCAATTGGGCATAAATGCAGTTGGGCTCCAAATCTCAAATTAAAAAAAAAAAAAATATTGGAATCGATAGAGATGATTGAGCTGAGTATAACGGTATACTTCTTTTTTTTGGGCAAACAACAACAACAAGAATAATCAAAGGTTAAAGTTCAAAATAAGCAATTTTTATTTTTGGAAGAACTATACAACATATATATAAAGTACGTATACCAAATTGAAGGGAATCAAATTTCCTATTAAACTTTTCAAGATCCATCCATCCGTTTTTAAGAAATCTTGATTTCAAAAATTGCTTATTTTGAACTTTAACCTTTGATAATTTTTGTTGTTGTTGTTTGCCCAAAAAAAGAAGTATACCGTTATACTCAGCATAATCATCTCTATTGATTCCAATATATNAATCATCTCTATCGATTCCAATATTTTTTTTTTTTTTTGAGATTTGGAGCCCAACTGCATTTGTTCCTTCAATTTAAATATCGATATTGCGGGTAAAGTACCGATATATAGACCTGGGAATATCGATTCAAAAAGTCGTTTATCGCAACAAGAAATATCGATATTCAGAATAATCGATACGATATCGAACATTCCTAGCTGATCATGTCCGGTTAGGTTGAAAAAAAATTATTACAAATCCTGTATGAAATAGAAAACAAATAAAAACTTATAGTTTAAAAAACTAAAACCTCCCTATTATAATTGCCATTCGTACTGTCATCAGGTATGTAACTTGAGAATAGAAATCGCTGCATCTTTTAGGCGCATCAATATTACATAGTTACATCCCGAGCTAATAAAAGGAAGGTAAAAAACACTTATGCAACAACCAGCTAAGGCGCTGTTATCAGAATCAACCTCGTCATCATTCAAACATGAATTTTGCAGGTAAGGTGGTCCTAGTCACAGGTGCGAGCTCTGGTATTGGAGCTGCTACAGCAGTGAAATTCGCCAAGTTAGGAGCTTCGCTAGCTCTCAATGGACGCAATGAGAAAAATCTCAAAGCCGTTGCACAGCAATGTGCTAATGTTGGTAAAGAACCACACTTGGTGGTGGGAGATGTGTCCAAGGAATATGACATTAAATTTATTTGGCAGAAAACAGTGGAAAAATACACAAAACTAGACGTACTGGTTAACAATGCAGGTATAATTGAAACGGGTAGCATTGAAAACACGAGTCTGGAACAATACGATCGTGTGATGAATACCAACCTACGAGCCATATATCACCTAACAATGTTGGCCGTACCGGAACTTATAAAGTCCAAGGGCAATATTGTAAATGTGTCCAGTGTAAATGGCATACGTTCATTCCCTGGCGTACTCGCTTACAATATTTCCAAAATGGGTGTAGATCAGTTTACGCGATGTGTTGCCTTAGAACTGGCTGCAAAAGGTGTTCGTGCAAATTGTGTAAATCCAGGCGTCACCGTGACGAATCTGCACAAACGTGGCGGCATGGATGAGGAAACGTATTCAAAGTTCTTGGAACATTCAAAAACAACACACGCACTCGGACGTCCTGGCACAGCGGATGAGGTGGCAAATGCTATAACTTTCTTGGCCAGTGACTTGGCCACTTTTACGACTGGCGTTAGTTTGGCAGTGGATGGTGGTCGTCATACTATGTGCCCACGCTAATATGGAAAATAATACATAAACCATTGCATTTCCTTAATCTTGCATTTATTGTTGCTTAAAAAGATTTAAAAATAACTAGTTTTTTCTAACGTTTTTTTATTTTAATTGAGAATATACATACATAACAAATTTTTAATTTGTATACTCTACGCTACTACCTCATCCTGGGGGTTTTACTGAGAAAAGTTGCGTTCCAGATGTGTCACGATTTGCAGGTTTTTACAGGAAGTCTTTCCAGGTGACCACATCCCATAAGGTTTATTAATGGGGAAAACAGCTGTTCCTGCAAATCGTGAATTTCGTGAATATCGTGAAGCATCTGGAAGGCAACTAAAGTTTATAAATTTGAGGAATCTGCGCTCGAATTGTCACATACGATATCGTATTACTCGTCAACGTAAAACATTTTTCGGATTATGACATACGTGGACATACTCTATCCCATTCAGCTTATACGACTGACTGGTTTTCGAACCGGGAACGGATTTTACGAATCGAGCCCTGATGCTTTATTTTTCTTACTAGATTTGGGTTAGACGAGGAGGATACAGACACATGGAAAGACCAACTTTAAACCCAGTAGATAATTTCAGGAGTTAAAAGCTCTTCCGAAAGGCATTTCTGAGAGTCAAGAGGCCTTCCACTCTACATTCCTTTCTTTTTTGTGTGGAGTGGCACAAATTGAAGGGATTCTTCTGTCGCTACCCATGGAAGGCCTTACAGAAAGGTTTTTATGGGACTACTTCAGAAGGCTTTTGGGAGGAGTTCTTTTGAAGTTGATTCTTTAATTTATAAAAGCCATATATGTAATACTTCTATATTGGCAGTAAGAGCTAGTACCGTCCGAAAACACTACAGTACAAATATATCAATAAACACGTACGAAAGAAAAGGAACACATACGTTTATAAATAAATATGTACATAACACATATACAAAAACGGCGCTCAAGTACACAATACATTGACAAAAACGGTACTCGACTGTCTCGCTTTGATTTCGGAATGCTTACACATTGAGAAGTTAGCTTACTGCCAATATAGAAGTATTACATATATGATAAAATCATACATCTTTGAAGTATTTGCTTGAGGTTTATATCAAGTACTGGCAGTCCCGGCGAACTCCGTCCCCAACACCACCTATACGACGAGGCCCAGATGCTCTGCAAGCAGTTCCTTGCTGGGAGCCACAGACATGGCCATACCAGCGGACGGCTGCTCGCGGAAGAGACCTCGCCACGGCACGTCAGGAGGCAACTTTACGAACTGACGGACGAAGTCCAGAGGATTATCAA